AGTGGTCCAGGCAGAGGGAAACAGGACATGCAGAGTCCTAGAGGTGAATGAGCTTGACATGTTTCAGAAACAGAACGGACAGTGTGGGTAGAAAACAAAGGTTAAGGGAAAGGGTGGGATGAAATGAGGTGAAGAGGTGGGCAGGGACCAGCTCACATAGTATCTTAAAGGCTGTGGTGGAACATTTGTTTTTTGTTTTTTAATTTGTATATATATTTTATTTTTGGCTGCGTTGGGTCTTCGTTGCTGCGTGCGGGCTTTCTCTGGTTGCGGTGAGCAGGGGCTACTTTTTGTTGGGGTGCATGGGCTTCTCATTGCAGTGGCTTCTCTTGTTGCGAAACACAGGCTCCAGGCGCACGGCCTTCAGTAATTGTGGCGCATGGGCTCAGTAGTTGTGGCTCGCGGGCTCTAGGGTGCAGGTTCAGTAGTTGTGGCACACGGGCTTAGTTGCTCTGCGGCATGTGAGACCTTCCCGGACCAGGGCTCGAACCCACTGGCAGGCAGATTCTTAACCACTGCGCCACCAGGGAAGTCCAGAGCATTTGGATTTTATGCCAAGTTCAGTGGGAGGGTATCAACTGTATTCAAGCATGATCTACATGATGTGGGTTTCTTGAAGGCAAGTTCCATGTCCTTGACATTCTGCTGCCCCACAGAACTGGCATCAGATAACAATAGTAACAGTTGCTTTGAGCCAACATTTACACATCATGGACCAGGCACTGTTCTCAGGCTTCTTCTTTTTTGTTTGTTTTAATGAATGAATCTTTTTTTTTTAATTAATTAATTTATTTATTTATTTTTGGCTGCATTGGGTCTTCGTTGCTGCACGTGGGCTTCTACTCTTTGTTGCTGTGTGCAGGCTTCCCATTGCGGTGGCTTCTCTTGCGGAGCACGGTCTCTAAGCGCACGGGCTTCAGTAGTTGTGGCACATGGGCTTAGTTGCTCCGCAGCATGTGGGATCTTCCCCGACCAGGGCTCGAATCCATGTCCCCTGCACTGGCAGGCCGATTCTTAACCACCGCGCCACCAGGGAATTCCAGTTCTCAGGATTCTCTTAATCCTCAGTTCCATTATTATCCCATTTGACAGACAAGGAACCAGAGGCTCCCAGAGGTCACATAGCTTGCCAAGGTTGGAGTTGGCTAGTGTCGGAGCCAGGATTAGAATGCAGCCAATCTGGATGCTGTGGGGTCCAAAGAGAGGAGAATTGGAAGAATCCATGAGCACCCGAGAAGTTCTGAGTAGAAGAGTTCGCAGGGTGGGATGAGGAGATCAGCCGGTTGGCCCTGCTGGGAAAGGACAGGAGTGGGAGAGAAGACCGGGACCCAGAAAGCCTGATGGAGGGGTTCCTGCCTTTCTACCCCCTGAGTAGTGGCAAACGCAAGCCCCGAAGCTGAGGGCCCCCCTGCCTGAGGCTGCCGCCCACCCAGGACTCTTAGCCTACCACCCAGCCTGGGTTTTCTCCAACCTAACCTGGAGCCCAGAGCTCTCCCTGAACAAGTTAGAATCACCTGAAACCTCAGTTTGCGAAGGAGAGGGCAGAGATGAGGCATGAGGACAGGAAGAAGGCTCCTCCTGCCCTCAACAAAGAAACACTTTGAACTTTCATGAAGGTACAAGCTGGGGGTGCAGCGGGAGTTGTGGGAAGCCAAGGTGAAGAGGAAAGGCCATTGTGCTACGCACTTTACATATATTTACTCCTCACCAAAGCCACTGTTCCAGATGAGGAACTGAGCCCCAGAGATGTTCCAGAACTTGACCAAGGTCACAGAGCTGACAAACCAGGATTCACTCCCGAGTCTGACTGGCTCCATTTCCTGCCTGGGCACTCCGGAAGCACAGACTTGTTCTCCTGCAGGTTTGCACTCTAACCCCCTCACCTAGCTCCAGGCACTAGCTAGGCGCTCAGCTACAATGAGCGCAGTGAGCCTCACTGCCCTCCTCCCAAACCACCATTTTGCCGGGTCCCAGCACTTCCTTCCTGCTTAGTCTTTTCTGGCCTCCATCTGTTTCCCCTGTGCCGATCAGAGCACTCATCTTTGGAACAGGGTTTCCTGCCCACCTCCACCTTGAGCCCCAATTTGCCTTGGCAGTCCCCTGGGCAGAGATCATACACCAAGTCACTCCCCAGAAGCTGAATATCTGTGTTCCAGGCAGCCAGGCCCCCCGGGGCTGGAGTCTGGGAGAAGTTGGACCAGGCTGGAACTGGAATGGGGGAGCTCTCCCTTGAGATGCATCTGGAAATGTTAACGTTCCTGTCCCATCCTAAAGGAGCCTGAGTGTGTCCACAGGTGCCCAAGCAACAGGGAGAGGAAGGAGCTGGGGCAGGTGCTTCCCCCTCCCCTGCTGGCAAATGCCTGCAAGAGCGGGCCTGTGGAATGAGAAGGTGGAGGGGGATGGGAGGGGAGGTGGGGAGCCTCTCTGTATCCCCGGCCTCAGGTTCACAAAGGGCCTTAAATTAGACTTCTGATGTTATCTCCAAATGACGCTATACATACATAGAGCCATTGTCTATGTGTTTGAAGTGTTAATGTGTTAAAAGTAAATATTGAAAACATGCTACAGTTTTTCAATCCAGTTTGGCATCTAACTTTTTAAATTCCAGGAACCTCAAAATCGGAAGAAGGAAGGCTTCTCTGGAGCCTCTGAGGGGCCTCGATGTGTTCTTCCCAAAGGAAGAACGCGGGGTGGGCGGGGAGGGGGCGGGCAACTGGAGGGAGGCAGCGCACACGAAGGAGCAGTAATAGGGCAGGAGAGGTGCGGGGGACCCGAGCCGCGTCCTTCCAGCTGAAGCTTGGGGGCAATCCCAGCTCCTCTGAAAGAGTCCTGCCCTTTTGTGCCCGAAGTCCCCACTTTTGCTCCTCAGGAGCGAGCCAGAGTGAGGGCAGGGGACAGGCCTAGACTGGCAGAGAAGCGTTTAGAGGCGGCACAACCCGCCCGCCCGCGGCTCCGGGACCAGATGCTCAGGCATCACGTTCTCTCGCCAGGGCTAGAATCCGTATCCAGCCCCAGAACCCCTGCGGAGGCCCTGCCAAGGGAGTAGACAGGCTCCGCGGAGGACCCCAGAAAGGCGGAAGGAGCGTGCTCCCTCCCAAGGGAAAGACAGATGTGGGGCTAATGAAAGGGATGCAGAGAGGCGCGGGGCCGGCGGGGGAGATCGGGGGCGTGGCGGGGAGAGGAAAGCTCCCGGGAGGGAGCGAACCAGACCACCTGGAGGTTCGCCGCGACGCCGGGCTGCAGCCGACGGGGGAGAGGAGCCGGGAGGGGGCGTGCAATTTGGCCCGAGGGTCCTGAGCTGAAACTCAACACCCGCCTTTGGAGGGATCGTCCTTCTTTCTCCTCCGCCCCTTCCCTTCCCCTCCCTTTTCCCCTCCCTCCTTTCTCTTAATCCCCGGGACTGAGCCCCGCGCCGGAGCGGAGAGGGCCCGAGGGGAGGAGAAAGGAGCTGCACTGAAAGGGCGCCGGGAGCCCGGGAAGGGGAGGGGAGGGGAGCCGCGAGCGGGGGGTGAGCCTGAAGGCCGCGCGCGACCCCCGGAGCCTTCCCAGCGCTCTCAGTGTCCCCCCTCCCAGCCCCACCTCCAGGCGAGTCCGCAGGATCCTGGCCTCTGCTCCTCCTTCGCCTTCCCTTTGCTCCTTCTTTTGCTTTGTGGCCTTTCTCTCGGTTGCCAGAGACACCCGGGCTGCCCCGAGCCCTGGGGCGCGCGGAGAGGGCCCGCCAAGGGTGCGTGTAAGCGGGGCGGCGGGACCAGCGCCGAGGGCCGGGGGCCGAGGGTGGGAGCGGGAGCGCCGGCGTCGAGGGCTGGAGGGGGGCGTGTGGGGAAGGCCGTCCCGCCCCTTCGAGCCGGGCCCGCGTGCGGGTAGCGAGGCGTCGTCGCGGCGCCCCCAGACCCCCAGGCGCGCTGCGAGCTAGTGTGCGTGTTTGGGAACCCGCCTCCTCGCCGGGGCTGCGAGAGTCTGGGCAGAAGGCAACCACTCGGGCCGCCCAGCCCAGCCGCCGCGCTCTCCGAGACATTCGGCGCCAGCCTGGCCTCGGTTCGCCAAGTCGGGCGAGTTTGAACTGAACGTCTCAGTTTTCACTGCCCCCCCACCCCTCCCTCGCAGCGGGGCTGCCGCAGAGCCCCCGACGCCCCTCAGCCTCGGGAGCACCGCTCTCCGGCGCGGCAGCCGGGTGGGGAGGCTTGGCCCCTAAACTCGCTCGTCCAGCCAGACCGCCCCGGCGGCTTCTCCCTGCCCTCGGGGCCGTTCTGAGCGGCCCGGAGAGGCGTCGAGCGCAGCCCCAGCTCCCGCCTCCTCGCGCGCCCTGGCACTGGAAGGGAGCTTTGGGCCTGTGCGGATCCGGGGTGCCCCCTCGGCCTAGGACGGGCACCTCCGGGGGCCTGATCCACCCGGCAGCCCCCGGGAGGCCGCGGGGACGGGGCAGAGCGCGCGCCCTTGGATGAGGTCCCGCAGCGACGCCCCGGCCCGCCCCGCTCCGATCGGGGGCGGGGCGGGGAGAGGAAAGCTCCCGGGAGGGAGCGAACCAGACCACCTGGAGGTTCGCCGCGACGCCGGGCTGCAGCCGACGGGGGAGAGGAGCCGGGAGGGGGCGTGCAATTTGGCCCGAGGGTCCTGAGCTGAAACTCAACACCCGCCTTTGGAGGGATCGTCCTTCTTTCTCCTCCGCCCCTTCCCTTCCCCTCCCTTTTCCCCTCCCTCCTTTCTCTTAATCCCCGGGACTGAGCCCCGCGCCGGAGCGGAGAGGGCCCGAGGGGAGGAGAAAGGAGCTGCACTGAAAGGGCGCCGGGAGCCCGGGAAGGGGAGGGGAGGGGAGCCGCGAGCGGGGGGTGAGCCTGAAGGCCGCGCGCGACCCCCGGAGCCTTCCCAGCGCTCTCAGTGTCCCCCCTCCCAGCCCCACCTCCAGGCGAGTCCGCAGGATCCTGGCCTCTGCTCCTCCTTCGCCTTCCCTTTGCTCCTTCTTTTGCTTTGTGGCCTTTCTCTCGGTTGCCAGAGACACCCGGGCTGCCCCGAGCCCTGGGGCGCGCGGAGAGGGCCCGCCAAGGGTGCGTGTAAGCGGGGCGGCGGGACCAGCGCCGAGGGCCGGGGGCCGAGGGTGGGAGCGGGAGCGCCGGCGTCGAGGGCTGGAGGGGGGCGTGTGGGGAAGGCCGTCCCGCCCCTTCGAGCCGGGCCCGCGTGCGGGTAGCGAGGCGTCGTCGCGGCGCCCCCAGACCCCCAGGCGCGCTGCGAGCTAGTGTGCGTGTTTGGGAACCCGCCTCCTCGCCGGGGCTGCGAGAGTCTGGGCAGAAGGCAACCACTCGGGCCGCCCAGCCCAGCCGCCGCGCTCTCCGAGACATTCGGCGCCAGCCTGGCCTCGGTTCGCCAAGTCGGGCGAGTTTGAACTGAACGTCTCAGTTTTCACTGCCCCCCCACCCCTCCCTCGCAGCGGGGCTGCCGCAGAGCCCCCGACGCCCCTCAGCCTCGGGAGCACCGCTCTCCGGCGCGGCAGCCGGGTGGGGAGGCTTGGCCCCTAAACTCGCTCGTCCAGCCAGACCGCCCCGGCGGCTTCTCCCTGCCCTCGGGGCCGTTCTGAGCGGCCCGGAGAGGCGTCGAGCGCAGCCCCAGCTCCCGCCTCCTCGCGCGCCCTGGCACTGGAAGGGAGCTTTGGGCCTGTGCGGATCCGGGGTGCCCCCTCGGCCTAGGACGGGCACCTCCGGGGGCCTGATCCACCCGGCAGCCCCCGGGAGGCCGCGGGGACGGGGCAGAGCGCGCGCCCTTGGATGAGGTCCCGCAGCGACGCCCCGGCCCGCCCCGCTCCTCCTCCTGCCCGGCCAAGCTGCCTCCCATTTGGGGAGTTTCGAGGGTTTTCTTTCTCCTCCTCCAACCTCTGCGGAGGCCACGACTCAGGCGCCGCAGCAGGGGGCCGCCTCCATGGTGCGGGGCAGCCGCTGCTGAAGTCGGCGAAACCGAGCCTGGCCTGGAGCTGGCCGCGCGGAAGGCCAAGGCCATGGCCATAGCCACGTCGGTGAGTCCACCAGAGAGAGGAGGCTGCCGGGCAGAGACGTCCACAGCCTGTCCTGCACTGCTGTCACTTTTATTTCTGCCTTCTCTTTGTCTCGCTCCTTCGTCCCTTGCTTCTTTGGGAGACTGTGTCCCCCTTCTGGCACTTTTGTTTCCCTTTCCCCCTCTCACTCCTCATCCCTAGCTCCTACTGGATCTGGCCTCCCCCTTCTCTCCTCCCGCTCCCCATTCTCCCCTTTTTCTTTCCAGAGGCTGCTCCTGGAAGGAGGGGAGGGGGCAAGCCTGAGTCCTATCTGCTCCTTTATGGGCGGGAACAGATGGCCACTGGAGGTTGGCAGGGGCTTGTGATTGGGAGGCTAGTAAAAGGTTGGGAGGGGGCTGAAAGAACGGAGGTGGCTTCAGGGAAATAGGGGAGGGTAAAGGACCCAAGGGGGCCCTTCTCTAGAGGAGGGATGGCAGAAAGGTGGGAAATAAAGTAAAAGAGGGAGATCGGGCAGGGAGCAAGAGAAAATAGAGGGAGGAGGGGAGGTGATGTCAGCCAGCCTCTGGCCACTTTCCTAGGACTGGGGACAAAGGCAGGAGACAGCTGGCATGATGGGCCAGTGGGAGGAGGCCTCCCAGTGAGCGTGTAGCCCACGGCCACCCCCCTTTAAGACAGCCACTCCCTCACAAGTCAGCTGGGCCCCTGAGGAGGGGGTAGAGCTGGGGTGGCCACACCCATCATCAATCAGTCTATCAGGGACTCTGGCCTGGGTTCCCGCAATTGCAAGGCCCAGAGGTTTGGTCCCATTGGACAGAATTCAAACCTGACACAGGGAGGAACTCTTCACAGCCCCACCCCTGCTCTCTGTCCTCTACTGCTTGTAGTCTGAATCCAAGCAACTCTGTCCCCTTTCCACCCTTCCCTAGGCCTTAGGATTCCCAGGGAAAGCGAGGCTGCCACCTGCTTTCCGGCCCCCTCTGAATGGGCATTTTGCGAAGGAGGATTGTGAGGCTGGGAAGAGAAGCATGGCTTCTGACATCCTCCCACACCCCTCGAGGATGAGTTAGATTTTCATTCCTTCTCAGACCAAACTCCTCTTAGCTCCTCAATCTGTATGATGGTGAGCAGACCCTAGTTCGGAGCCAGAAGAGGGGGAGGTCCTGAACATAGTGGGGTACTCTGACGTAAAGATGCCTTCGCAGGAGCCAACTGGTCAGCTGGTCAACTTTGTAGTCCCAGGAGGTAGATCTTTCTTTTGCCTGGGGGAGCGAGGGGTGTTGGTATTTATGCTTATGAAACTCACAGGATCCTAATAACAGCTAATATTTATTATTTACTGGCCCTAAGCTGGCTCTGAGCTTTGTCTGGGTTTGTCCTGGTTCTTTGATGCATTGTCTCACCCAGTCCTCACAACAACCCTGTGAGGCTAGTACTGTTATTATCTGAAAGTGGATATTCAGCTACGGATATGGAATTCTATAAAGGAGGAAACTGAAGCTTGGAGAGGTTAAACAAACTGCCCAAAGTCACCCAGCTCGAAAGTGGCAGAGCCAGGACTCAGACTCAGGTCTGTCTGCCTCAGAAACTGTGCTTTTAACCCCCTGGCTAGATCCAAAACGCCAATTTCTAATTTACAGTTAGAAAGAAAAAGGCCAAGCTAACCAGGAATTTGTGTCATCTGGCTAGCGTATTGGCTTTCTGCGGGACAACATCCTTTAGAAGCCAAAATATAATCAGAAGAGGGTTTAATCATTTGGAATCAGGCAAGAGAAGTCAGCTTATTGTCAAAATCACCCAGCCATAAAGGGCTGGACAACCTCTCCATCTGAGGGAAACACCGGCCACGAGGAATATGCACTCATGTTGGCTGAGCCAGCCATCCTTCCCCCAGGGCCTGGTGGCCAAATGCATCCTGCCAGAGACCTTGAGCTTGAGGTGTTTCACTGAGTGAGCCCACGTGGATTACCTGTTCAGTAATGCCTAACTACCTGCTTTCTACCACTGCCTGGGATCCTGCCAGCAGGCTCGGGGAGGGGGGGTCACTTAGGAAACATAACTGAAGCAGAATATATTTTGACATTGTGAGTGGCTTAAGCTCAATTCTACAAAATAACTTCGTGGAACCAGAGCCCAGTGAAGAGAGACTAGCAAAGGGAACTTGGGCACCATGAAGACTTCCTATGAACTTGAGTCATGTTTGAGCCATGGGTCCTCTTTTTGTTTTGTTTTGTTTTTTAAGTCTTTTTGTTGTTGTTGTTATCTTTTTATTTTATTTTATTTTTAAATTTTTATTATTTAATTCTGTTTTGTTTTGTTTTTTTTGCGGTATGCGGGCCTCTCACTGTTGTGGCCTCTCCTGTTGCGGAGCACAGGCTCCGGACACGCAGGCTCAGTGGCCATGGCTCACGGGCCCAGCCGCTCCGCGGCATGTGGGATCTTCCCCGACCGGGAACCCATGTCCCCTGCATCAGCAGGCGGACTCTCAACCACTGCGCCACCAGGGAAGCCCTATTTAATTCTGTGTTATTTTTGGCTGTCTTGGGTCTTTGTTGCTGCGCACAGGCTTTCTCTAGTTGCGGCGAGGGGGGACTACTTTTGGTTGTGGTGAGCGGGCTTCTTATTACAGTGGCTTCTCATGTTGCGGAGCGTGGGCTCTAGGCGTGTGGGCCTCAGTAGTTGCAGCACGCAGTAGTTGTGGCCTTCGGGCTTAGTTGCTCTGTGTCATGTGGGATCTTCGCGGACCAGGGCTCGCGCCCGTGTCCCCTGCATTGGCAGGCGGATTCTTAACTACTGTGCCACCAGGGAAGCCCCTTTTATTTTTTTTTAAATTGAAGTATATTTGATTTACACTGTGTGTTACTGCTCTACGGCAAAGTGATTCAGTTATACATATATATGTACATTCTTTTTTATATTCTTTTCCACTATGGTTTATCATAGGATATTGAATATAGTTCTCTGTGCTATACCGTATGACCCCGTTGTTTATCCCTTCTATATATAATAGCTCACATCTGCTAACCCCAACCTCCCACTCCATCCTTCCCCCAGTCCCCTCCCCCTTGGCAACCACCAGTGTGTTCTCTATGTCCATGATTCTATTTCTGTTTCATAGATAGGTTCATTTGTGCCATACTTTAGATTCCACGTGTAAGCGATAGCATATGGCGTTTGTCTTTCTCTTTCTGACTTACTTCACTTAGTATGATCATCTCTAGTTGCATCCATGTTGGTGCAAATGGCATTATTTCATTCTTTTTTATGGGTGAGTAATATTCCATTGTATATATGTACCACATCTTCTTTATCCATTCATCTGTCAACGGACATTTATGTTGTTTCCATGTCTTGGCTGTCGTGAATAGTGCTGCTGTGAACTTAGGGGTGTGTGTTTCTTTCTGAATTATAGTTTTGTCCGGATATATGTCATGGGCCCTCTTGACTTAACTACTGTTACTAATATAAGAAGAAAAAAGTGGATCCTTTTTTTTGGGGGGGGATGCGCTGCACGGCTTGTGGGATCTCAGTTCTGTGACCAGGGATTGAACCTGGGCCACGGCAGTGAAAGCCTGGAATCCTAACCACTAGGCCACCAGGGAACTCCCAAAAAGTAGATCCTTATGCTTGTGGTTGTGAAGAGGCAGCAGAGGAGTGAGTGAGAGGCTCTGGAATCCCACAGCCTGGAGTTCAAATCATGCTGCACCAGCTGTATGTCGTTGGGCAAAGTACCAACCTCTCTGTTCCAATTTCCTTTCCAAATGGGGATAATGATGGCTCCTCCCTCATCAGGTTGTTGTGAGGATTAAATGAGATGAGATGATTAGTGCAAACACTCGTTCAGTGTCTGGCTATATAATTTGCACTTGATGTCTGTGGCTTACCTGAGCCTGTAGCTCTCAAAGGAAAAAGCTTAGATTTCCCCACAAGACAGGACTGGAAACAGGCTGATAAATGTTTGCTCTTGGTTGGTCCACCAGCCCCCTTGCATACACACACACACACACACACACACACACACACACACACACACACACAAACACACACGAGCGTATACACTTTTCTCCATGATAACCTCAGCCTCTGCTGGTAGAGCCTTACCTGCTCAGACTGAGAACAAAACAATTGCTTTGGTTTCTGTTTTCTTCCTTATGCCGAGGCTGTGTCTGGGCTGGGCTTCTCCCACTCCTTCTCAGAATGCGGGGTCTCTGCAGCTGCTTAATCTAACCTGCTTATAGGGGATGCTGACTGGGAAACAGGGAAGGTAAAGGAGATCCTATGGGAGACCTTTTCAGGACTTCCTCATGTAATTCACTCAACATATGTTCATGGAGGACTGATTCCAGGTTAGGCCTATTGCAGAGGCTAGGAATATAGAAATCCCTTTTCTCACAGGGCTGACAGTACAAGGGAAGAAATTGATTTTTTAAAGTAAATAGACAAATAGTATAAAGTACTGTGAAGGAAACAATGGGTGGAGACAGACACAGAATGGGGTGGGGAGAAGAATGAGAAGACATTTCAGAAGAACTGAAGGATGAGAAAGGGCCAGTCAAATGCATAGTCACGGGACAGGTAAAGGAACTGCAAAGGCCCTGAGGTGGGAAAGAGCTTGTCTATAGAGATCAAGGAATAGAGAGGGAGAATGCAAGGGATGAAGCTGGAGACAGGCAGGGCCGAGTCAGGAGGTCAGATTTTTAGCTTGAGGGAAGTGGGGAGCTCTATGTTTTGAGCAGGGGGTGACATGACCTGATATGTGTGTGAAGACCCCTCTCCCTACTCCCACCTCACCCACCAGGCCCAGCTGGCCCGGGCACTGTACGACAACACCGCCGAGTCCCCCCAGGAACTGTCCTTCCGCCGAGGGGACGTTCTACGGGTGCTGCAGAGGGAAGGCGCTGGTGGGCTGGACGGCTGGTGCCTCTGCTCCCTGCACGGCCAGCAGGGCATTGTGCCTGCCAACAGAGTGAAGCTCCTTCCCAATGGCCCGGCACCCAAGCCTGGCCTCTCCCAGGTGCCGCCAGCCCAGCCTGGCTCACCACATCCAGCCCCAGAAGACGGCAATGAGGACCAGGAGGTGAGAGCTGGAGCCCCCCCAAAACCCCAAGCCAGGACATTCCCGTCCGCCGGTGCCTGCACGTGGAGGAGGGAGAGCCCTGAGATGGCAGCTCTGCACCAACTCTGCTGTACTAATCCTGTTGGCCAACCCTTTCTGGGCTCTTTCCCCACTGGTACAGGGAGGGGGTTGGAAGATGTCTAAGCTCCTCCCGGGCACACATTATCTGATCCCCTGGTTCCCCACACCACCTGACCCACCCGCCTGTGTTGATCCCCCAGGTGTATGTGGTGCCACCCCCAGCTCGGCCCTGTCCTACCTCGGGACCTCTGGCTGCACCCTGTCCGCCCTCCCCTGATCCCATCTACAAGGTCCCCAGAGGCAGTGGGAACCAACAGGCTGCCCCTGGAGATGCCCTGGAGGTGAGGGCTAGAGGTTTGTGTGTATGTTGGGCAGGGAACAGACGGCTCTCGGGGGTGGGGGGGATTAGGGGTTAGCGGAATGGGGGCCCACTGCTGAGACTGAGAGTAACCAACTGCTTCCTCTCCAGGTCTATGACGTACCCCCCACTGCCCTCCGAGTTCCCTCCAATGGCCCCTATGACTCCCCGGCCTCCTCCCGCCCTCTGGCCTGGGTTGTCCCCCAGTCCCCTGGAGAAGATGAAGCTCCCTATGACGTGCCTCTGGCCCCGAAGCCACAGTCAGACCTGGAGCCAGATCTGGACTGGGAGGGGGGCCGGGAGCCGGGGCCCCCCCTCTACGCTGCCCCCTCCAACCTGAAACGAGCATCCGCCCTGCTCAATCTGTACGAAGCACCGGAGGAACTGCTGGCAGACGGGGAAAGCGGGGGCACTGACGAGGGCATCTACGACGTCCCCCTGCTGGGGCCGGAGACACCCCCTTCTCCAGAGCCCCTGGCAGCCTCGGCTTCCAATGACCTGGACGCCCTGGCCCTGCTTCTGGCCAGAAGCCCCCCACCCGCACACAGGCCCCGCTTGCCCTCAGCTGAGAGCCTGTCCCGCCGCCCTCTGCCGGCCCTGCCTGTCCCGGAGGCCCCCAGCCCTTCCCCGGCTCCCTCTCCTGCTCCAGGCCGGAAGGGCAGCATCCAGGACCGGCCTCTGCCCCCCCCCCCGCCCCGCCTGCCGGGCTATGGGGGCCCCAAGGTCGAGGGGGATCCAGAGATCGGGGAGGTGGAGGACCATCAAGAAGGACACCACAATGAGTATGAGGGCATCCCGATGGCCGAGGAGTATGACTACGTCCACCTGAAGGTGAGCTCGCCTCCAGCCAGCCCCACTAGAAATGGCTCCAGGAGAGCCAGGGATGCGGAGGGGAGCAAGGAGGCCCGAGGCCCCAGATGCAGACCCCGGCTTCCTCCCTTCCCTTCTTCCCCATCCATGGCCCTGTGCCCTATGGCCTGGGCCCCAGTACTTGGCCACATCACTTGTATCGGTGCCACATTCCTCCCCCTAAACCCAGCCTGGGGTCCCTGAGACCTCTGACCTGCCACCAGAGCTCTTCCGGACCTAGAGTCAAGGGGTTGCAGATCTGATGGCAGGAGAGACCTTCAGGAGGACGTGGGAGTGGGGAGGCACCAGAAGACCATGGAGGCTAGGCCCCAGCCTGCTCCCCCACCCCTGCACTGAGACCCTCTCCCCCCCTGCAGGGCATGGATAAAGCTCAGGGAGCCAGGCCCCGGGATAAGGCCTCCCCAGGGGACCCTGAACTGCTGGAGACGGGGCCACCGGAGCAGCAGGTAACCCCATGGGGGTGGTGCTAGAGAAGGGGCACTGGGGCGGGGGAGGAGCAGGAACTTGGAGGAAGGGCTGTTCTCAACTCGAAATCGATTCAGGATGGGGGTAAGAGTTCAGTGAAACGGGACAGTTGGAGTAGAGAGGAGTTAGAATTCAGGAAGGAGCTGGAACTTAGAAAAGGATATCAGGAGGCTTCCCTGGTGGCGCAGTGGTTGAGAGTCCGCCTGCCGACGCAGGGGACGCGGGTTTGTGCCCCGGTCCGGGAGCGGCTGGGCCCGTGAGCCATAGCCTCTGAGCCTGCGCGTCCGGAGCCTGTGCTCCGCAACGGGAGAGGCCACAGCAGTGAGAGGCCCGCGTACC